AGGAACCATTAAAATAGTAAATAAAAATATTATTTAGAGCCATTGAATAAACTACAATCACATTTTTCTTTTTGTAAGTTAACTTAAATCATATTAAAAAATAAAATTATAAACAAAATGAGATAACTTCAGTCATACAAATTACATTTTTTTAATGCTATCTAATCATCATCAATAATTAAAAAAATCAAACACAAATTAAGTCAATTGATAATTAAAAAACACAATAATTTATTTTCCAAAAAATATAATGAGTTAAAAAGATCAATTACAATTTTTTTTTTTTTGGTCAAAATACAATCTAATCATAATCAATAATGAGTATATTATGTGACCCTAATGAGTACAATCTATTTTGTTTTTCAAAAAACACAGTGAGTTAAAAATCAAATCACAAATTAAGTGAATTGATAGTTAAAAAAATACAATAATTTTTTTTTTCAAAAAACACAGTGAGTTAAAAAAATCAATTACAATTTTTTTTTTCAAAATACAATCTAATAATTATCAATAATTGGTACTTTCAAAATCAAATCAGAAAAAAATCAAATCAAATCACAAATATTTTTTTCATAAATAATTGTAAAGAAAAACCATTAAAGTAGTAAATAAAAGATTAAATCATATTAAAAAAAAGGAACCATTGAACAAACTACAATCACATCGCATTTTTCCCATAATAAAAAAATAAATAAATGAAAAAAAGAACCATTGACTAACTAAAATCACATTAAAAAAATAGAACCATTGAACTAATTACAATCACCTTTTTTTTCTTCGTGAGTGTTTATGTTTATTTAATTTCAATCATATTAAAAATAAAATTAAAATAGTAAATAAAAAGATTAAATAACATTAAAAAAAAACCATTGAACTAACTATAACAATCATATTAAAAAAAAGAGCCATTGAACAAACTACAATCACATCATATTTTTCCCATAATAAAATAAATAAATGAAAAAAAAGAACTATTAAACTAACAACAATTACATTTTAAAAAAAGAAAGAATCATTCAACTAATTATAATTACATTTTTCTCTTTGTGAAGGTTTATATTTATCTAAGTTCAATCATATTAAAAAATCAAATTATAATTTTTTATTCGCTAGAAAAATCATAAATATTTTTATGCGCTATCTAACTATAATATCTATACTATATATTAAGCAAAAGAGGGTTTTTAACCCCAAGTTTTGTGGAAGCTCCAATCTCCTAATCTAAATTTTCTGATTTTTTGATTTAAAAAAAAAAAAAACCTTAGCTCTTAATAACTTCTCCCAACCCCAAAGTTTTACCCTCATAATAATACTTTAATGCATTAAATACAGGCATGAAAAAAATTCTTTGAAATCCAACACATATGAATTCCTTGAAAAGTCCCAACACATATGATTATTATCCCTCATAAAAACACTTTAATGCATTAAGAACAAACATAAAAAAAAAAATTCTTGAACAGTCTAACACATATGATTATTATCAAAATATTAAACTTTAATATAATATAATAAAAAAAAGAAGACATTTAATTTCTTAAAAAGTCCAACACATATGATTATTATCAAAATATTAAATTTTAATATAATATAAAAAAGGAAAAAAAGAAGACATTTTTTTTAAAAAAAAAAGACATTTAAAAATCGCAATTCACATAAATAGATAATTGTAAATATATTAAGGAAAATGGGGTTTATAAACCCCAAGTCTTGTGGGAGTTCCAATATCTCAATCTTAATTTTTTAAATTTTTTATTTAAAAAAAAAACTCAGGATTTATTGATTTGATCAAAATCTCCTGATCAGTATTTATTAACTTTTTTTCAATCCACATGCTTGCATTTATTGATTTGGTCAAAATACCTGATTAGCATTTAAAATCCCCTCATACAAATAATTATAGATACAGCCCGTGCATAGTTACTGCAGTAGCCTTTTTAATTTCTCCTATACACTATGGTTAGTGACAAGATTGTTAAATTATTTTTATAAAAAATCTTAAAAAATATAATTTATATATTAAAAAAAATTAAAAAATATAAATATCTATAATTATTCCGTGCATAGCGCGGGTGATAAGCTAGTTAAAAGAGTAAATAAAAGGAAAAGTTAAGAAGGAGAAAACAAAAAGAAAACTTACTGTTTGCATAGGTGGTCACTGGAGTTAAAAGTGTAGAAGTGAGAAGTCAAGAAGGAGAAAATAAAAAGGAGACTCACTGTTTATAATAAGTATGTGAAAAGTTAAAAAGAGTGTGTGTGTTGGAGAAGTTAAAAAGATTTGGAAGAATTTAATAATTGCTAAATTTTTTTTTTCAAAAAAAAATCAAAAAAATTAAGAAATTAAGGTTCAAATATTGAAACTCCCACAAAACTTATAGGTTAGAGATAGATATAAATAAATAGATAGATATAGATATAGATATTTATATTTGTTTTAAATTGTTTTTAATATACAAATTATTTGTTTTGAAAAAGGTACTGCAGTAATTATGAGAGATGACAAAAAGTCTTGTGGGTTGAGAGAAGTTAATAAATGCTGAGGTTAATTTTTTTTAAAAAAAAAAACAAAAAATTAGAAAATTAGGATTAACATATTGGAGCTCCCAAAAGCCTTTGGGGTTAAAAATCTCATTTTGCTTAATATATAGTATACGTTAGCCTATCACCAGTGCTATGCACGAGATAATTATAGATATTTATATTTGTTTTAGATTTTTTTTAATATATATATTATGTTTTTAAAGATCTTTTATAAAAATAATTTAACAATCTTATCACTAACCATAGTGTATGGAAGAAGTTGAAAAATGTATCTATAATTATTTGTATGAGGGAATTTTAAATGCTGATAAGGAGATTTTGACCAAATCAATAAATGCAGGCATGTAGAAAGATATGTGGATTGAAAAAAGTTAATAAATACTGATCAGAGGATTTTGACCAAATCAATAAATGCTAAGTTTTTTTTTAATAAAAAATTTAGAAAATTCAGATTGAGATATTGAAACTCCCACAGGTTTGTATGAGGGTATTTTAAATGCTAATGAAGAAATTTTGACCAAATCAATAAATGCTGGCATGTGGAAAGACAAGTGAATGGAAAAAAGTTAATAAATACTGATCAGAAAATTTTGACCAAATCAATAAATGCTTAGTTTTTTTTTTTAATAAAAAATTTAGAAAATTTAGATTGAGATATTGAAACTCTTACAGGCCTTGGGGGTTAAAAACTCCCTTTTACTTAATATATAGTATAGATTTTAGCCTATTTTGTCTTTTTTGTGAATTTTAACCCCAAAAAAAGCCAAGCATTCCATTAAATATGTATATTTTTTATGAAATGGAAAATATTATTAAATAAGTATGATATATAAATGGAAAAAATACATATAAAATAATGTAGTTACATTGGGACACGTCATTTTAAAGAGTGTCTATTAAAATTATATTTAATTAGAAAAATATCACCATTACAAACGAGAACATATCTATATCTATCTATATATCTACAATAATGCTAGGTATCATGAAAAGTCTTTCATGAAAATGATCATGAAAGATTTATAACCCTTAAATTACCTTGATTAGTGTGTGGTGTTTTATTCTAAGTGTAATCTAAAGGTCACAATATGATCATTTTCATGAAAGACTTTTCATGATACCTAGCATTGTTGTAGATATATAGATAGATATAGATATGTTCTCGTTTGTTTTGTTTCTTGAAACGAAATCATGAAACTCGTACGCAAGGAACTCTCCGAAGACTGCTGGGAATTGATTCTGAATCGATTAGCAATCGATGACTTCAACTACTTGCAATCCCCTTCTTTGGTCTGCAAGCTATTCCTCTCCATCACCGATCGACTTCGACTCAAATTGGGGGTCTCCAACAGATTGTTCTACAGCGATAACTGCGAGGGTTTATTCAGAGCCCTTCAACGATTCACAAACCTCAAAGAGTTTGAGCTTCGTGTACCGTTCTTCGGTGACAAAGCCGATGTCAACTACCCCATTCGAAGAATCACTTCTCCTTTGTTGGATCTTCAATCCATCTACCTAACCTGTTTACTCTTGAAAACTTTTTTGAAATTGGGTTCCACCATGAAGAACTTGAAGATTCTAAGATGTTGTCTACTCGAGTGTCTTCGCAATCACCACCTTGTTGCTATAGCTGATGCTTTACCATGGCTTGAAGAGCTCGATATCCACTTTTCCTGCTACTATTGGAGCACTGAGTGGGATTCAAATTCTAGAAGCGCAAAGTATTTGATAACTGATGCTGGGATCGAGGTAATGTCGCGTAAGCTTCGGGGGTTGCGTAAAATTGATATAACAGGGCAGGTTGGTTGTTCTGATCGATCTCTCATTGCTTTGTCATCAAATTGTGTGCTTTTGAATGAAATTCGATGTGGTTTGTGCAAAGTTACTGAACATGGCATTTGTTTTGTACTACGCCATAGCCGAAATTTGATTTGTTTCAAAGTAGGAAGCTGTTACAGTTCGCCAGATAATTCGTTCACCTTTGAGAATTCCATGATTTATGCAACATCTTTACGTGATCTTGCGTTAGACCCACATGGAAATTATGACCAACTAATTTGTTCCATTGCAACAGCAGGCATTCAATTAGAGAAGATCGTGTTGTACGATGATTCTGGTTTGAGCTTACATGGACTCTCCACTTTCTTATGTGCATGCCCATCTTTGACACACTTGATGCTTGGTTCCATAAAAATCCTCACCGACAATTACATGAGGGATTTATGCCGATATCTTCCTAATCTTGTGTCCATAACGATTGATGGGTGTTCAAACTTAACAACTGCAACCTTCTTCATCCTTGCAAAAGAATGTCCTGTGCTTTCAGAAATTGAAATGCCACATATAAATCTACACGTTGAAGATGATTTTGACATGGACTTGGAGAGAAATTATCGAATTAGATCTTTGGATTTGAGTTGTGCGCGTGTGAATAACAAATTCCTGAAAAAAGTAGGGGTTGTTTGCCCCAACTTACAGACTCTGGATGTTTCAGGACTTTACAGATTGACAGAAGGTATTGAGGATATTTTGAAGTGCTGCTCTCAGATGAAGCATTTGACAGTGGACAGAACTAGAGAAATAGTGATTTTATTGGAACAATTCAAAACTCGCTGCATTAAAATTGAGCATCATCTTAACTTAGAGGAGAGGATATGAGGGCTGATCGGACTTGTGAATTGAGGAAGAAGAAGAACTGTAAGTGCTATTTGTTAGAAAAACCGCCTTATTCCCTTTACATTTTCCTCTGATTTTTTGCATTTGAATTTGGAAGGAAGACTTGTATTTTGAATTCTTCAAGTTCTTCTTCTTTTTTTTTTCCTTTTTTTTTTTCCGTCTTTTCACAAGATAGCGGGTAGTATTTTATGAGTTTGGGGGCTGCTGTGCAGTGTTTTGGGCCCATTTAGATGATCCGAACCATTAATGTGATTTAATGAAAGGGCTACCCATGTCCAATCTACTTGAATTTGAATTTTTGCAGGTATGTTACAGTTAACGGTTCGGATAATCTAAATGGGCCTAAAATGCCACACAACAGTATGGTATGTTAGTAGTTAGATTACAATGTAGGCCAATGCCTCTCTATAGACTCGAACTTGAAACCTCACTCACCTTGGTACCTAAGTACCCTCTGCATGACCACTCATTACTGAGGTGATTTTATTGAAAAGCATTTAGCCTCATAACTTGTATTTGAATCATTATTGATTGATGCATGATCTACTAGTCTCAAATCCTAATTACTAGTACTGCATCTTTTTGAGTTTTGCTTGCCTTATGTGATATGGAATATGATGTTTAAACGAGGGTCCAATGGAAAAATTGGGATGGCAACATAAGAGCTGGTCATTGTGAAATGAAATTAGAGATGATGGATTTTTGGCTGACATCTCAATGAGTTTCTGACAGTAATGCAAACCAAAATTTTAGAAATTGGAACATTTTTTTAAGTTATGGAAGTGAATGATAAGGTTTGACAAATTGGAATGAAAACATTATCTTTGATTCTTTCAGAATCAGAAGAGTGAAGTACCATGGTGTTGCCTCCACTCCCAATCATGTTTTAACAATGGGTGAATTGATTAGGTTAGCTGGTTGTACAGTACAATCCAAATATAGGCTGCTGAGGAGGATAGGGTTAGTGTTTCTATAGAAATGGTGGACTTCTTAGCCCCAAGGAAACTACTCCCAGGACTAGTGTTTTTGGATTGCCATGTGTTCAAGAACAATTCACAGTACGTGGACAAAGAAAAAACAACTACTTGTTTGCTTGCTCGCTCTTCCTCCTCTTCTTTGTCTAACCCCTGCGAAGTATTTCCTAAAACATTGTATTTCATGTCCATAATATTATAACAGCAATCTCAAAAAGTGCAAGTTATCAATTACAACAAAATTCAAGTTCTAGACATTGTGTTGCATCCAATGTTACCAAGCGAATTACATTTTGGAGCTCACGTTCCGAAACATGGTGCACTTATGTTCTAAAATAGTAAATTTAGCGATCCAAAGTAATTCCAAAACTTTTTTCCCTTATATTTGTTTAAGGTTTCCTTAGAAGTTAATAAAAAATCAAATATAATGAACAAAAATCTAAGGTAAGTAAAATTTTAAGCTTACAAAACGTCAAATAGTTCATAATGCTCATAGAAATATGTGGTTATATGATTAATTTAGAAAAATCCTAAATTTTATTAGATATTTAATTGTCAACTATGCAAGTTTATTCTTATCGTATCACAATTTAGAGCATGTGGCGTAGCGTATTTCCATTCCCGTTTTATGTAGCGGGATGATCTACATTTTAGGTAACATAGGTCACATCAAAACAACTGGAAATTGAGGAGATATTTAAGGAAATATCAAAATATATCCATGAAAAATCTAAGAATTGTTGTACATAGACCTTGTTCTTGTTGATTGATAAAATCATAGAATGGAAAATTCTTCGGTGATTGGTTGATTGGCTTTTATAATAAAGTTGCCATTGAAGGTTGTCTTGTTTTGTCAGAAGATAATATGTTCAAATCTCATTTTGCTTGTCTTTCTGAAGATGGTTTAAAACCTTGAAGTATGATTACATTACTGTAATATTCTTTGTAGAAATGCAGGTAAGGTTCTGCTTCTGTAGATATTCTAATTAAATTCTACATCATAAATCCTAGCAATATATCATTCTAATATTTATGAATTGCTCTCCGTATCTCCACATTCTTAGATTTTTCATGGATGTGTCTTGATATCTCCCTGAATTTTTAGTTATTTTGATGCAAGCCCAGTACTTGAATTGTGTTGTAATTGATAGCTTGCTCTTCTTGTGAATGCTGCTTCTGAAGTTTCCTTCTGCTGCTCATTTGCTTACAAGATGCTATATTCTATTTTATTTATTTATTTATCTTTAATAGGACAAGCATTCTTGAAAGGGTCTTCAAGAAATGGTCCAAAGGAGGAAGAAGCTGTTGAAGTATCTAAGAACTGACAGGGATTCCTACTGCCTTGTTCTTTCTAAACTTGGTCATGTACAACCCCAATTATAAGCACTAGATAAGCATGTGGCAAAATCTGTTTTGTTTGCAAGTATGCTTTTAATTTATTTGGTTTCCTGTGGGAAGATGGAATTGGAGATGTTTTAATTTGTTTCCGGCCCTATAACCTTCTTAAAATTGCTTGAGGAGCTGTGTTTCTAGCTTTATTTCCTGTATGACTTAGTCTGGAATGATTTCTATGTTTTTGAGATGTTGAACTCTTCAAAGTAGTTCAGAAGGCATTGGTTGTTTCATCTGAAACTGTTATGATTTGCATTTTTCTCCTAATTGGTGATCGATTAGTACCTAAACACCTTTTTTTCTCTTTTGATTGATAACACACTTGGAAGACAAAAGGGTTTGGTTGAAGATGGAGATAACTTGGCATTAATTCCAAGGGCTACTGGAATATTCCATGTGAGATCATAAAATCGCTCATAGATTGATGAGAGGTTTGAGTGATGAGCTTTGCCCTATAAATCAGCAAATCAAAACATTGCTAATGTCATCTAATAGGTAGTGTTTCTGGCCGGAGGATACTTGATGAAAAATAATTTCGAGTGCTGTGTGCTCGGAGTCGAGACAGAGCTCTCTTAAAGGTATGAACTCCTTTTATAATGGTTGTTTGTCTTGTTCTAATTATTTCATTTGGTGGCCTTCTTGGTTGGTTGGGTCATGTGCTGCTTTTGGAAGTTATAATGGAGTTATATTAAAATAAAATATACAACATTCAGAGACCAAGAAAATAAAAAATAATAAGACTCTAAAAAGTAAAAATAAACAAGTTAACAAGAAGTACAAACAATAAAATACCAAATCGTTAAAAAAAATTACGATTTGAGAAAAATCACTGATCTTTTCACACGTGGTTTGAAAAAGTAAAATTTACATCAAATTTGCTGTTGTTGCTGCCCAACTTGGCAATTATTGTCGTCGCACTTCGATCACCGCTAGCAGGTAGAGTTGAAGATTAAGTGTAGCAGACAATTCCATTGATTTATGTCAGCCCAAAAAGACTTAAAAAAAAAAGGGGGGGATTGGCGATTATTTTGAGTCTCTAAGATTATTAGGAATTGGCAAGTGGGTGGAGTTGAAGCGGGTACATAATTATCACTTCTTTAAATACCTGTTCTTTAAATACCTGCACTTTAAATACCAGCACTGCACTTCGATTCATGGGAGTAGCTTTAAGTAGATTCAAGTAGATTGCTGTTGTAAACCTCTCCGAGGCTGAGTTCGGACCGTTGTAAGTGTTCATTTTTATGAAATACTTCAATTGTTCTTCATATTACTGTTATTTCTATTAACTTCTCCTAAGTCAAGCCACCAGTAAAAGTCCTCTTCATTGAGGCTGAAAAGAACTAAAACACAATCGTCTGATAATTGGTTGGCAATCACAATTTCTGTAAGGACTGATTGATCCTTGCTGGCACGCTCACATTCACAAAAATACCCTTCGAAAAGCCAAAAAGCCAACAATTACACATTTTATGGTTTGAAAATGTTTAAATAAAAAATTTATAATATTAACACAAAAATATATAGCATTACCACAAAATGTGTAATTGTATTTTTAAATTATAAATTATCATAACTCTATTAGAAAAATATATAATATTTTTTTTTATATCATGAATTTTTTTTTTCATTTAAAAAAACAAAAATAAAACAGAGTTTGTGATCGTAACCATAAAAAAGGGTTTTCTCCCATCTCGTGATCATCATCTTCGCTAACCATATACAAACTAATCTGTTTGAATTGTTTCTTGAAATCAAATCATGAAACACCGTCGTAAGGAACTCTCGGAAGATTGCTGGGAATTGATTCTGAATCGATTAGCAATCGATGACTTCAACTCCTTGCAATCCCCTTCTTTGGTCTGCAAGCAATTCCTCTCAATCACGGATCGAATTCGACTCAAATTGGAGGCCTCCGACAGATTGTTCTACAGAAATAACTGTGATGCTTTATTCAGATCCCTTCAACGATTCAGAAACCTCAAAGAGATCGAGCTTCGTGATCCTATCTTCGGTGACAAAGCCGATGTCAACTACCCCATTCGAAGAATCGCTTCTTCAGGGTTAGATCTTCAATCCCTCTCTCTAACTTGTTTACGAAAACCCCCATTCTTGAAAACTTTCATGAAATTGGGTTCCACCATGAAGAACTTGAAGATTCTAAGATGTTGTCTACTCGAGTGTCTTCGCAATCACCACCTTGTTGCTATAGCTGATGCTTTACCATGGCTTGAAGAGCTCGATATCCAGTTTTCCTGCTACTATTGGAGCCCTGGGCGGGATTCAAATTCTAGAAGCGCAAAGTACATGGTAACTGACGCTGGGATCGAGGCATTGTCGCGTAAGCTTCGGGGGTTGCGTAAAATTGATATGACAGGGCAGGTTGGTTGTTCTGATCGATCTCTCATTGCGTTGTCTTCAAATTGTGTGCTTTTGAATGAAATTCGTTGTTGTTCATGCAAAGTAACTGAACATGGCATTTGTTTTGTACTACGCCATAGTCGAAACTTGATTTGTTTCAAAGCGGGACGCTATTACAGTTCACCAGATGTTTCGTTCACTTTTGAGAATTCCATGATTTATGCAACATCTTTACGTGATCTTGAGTTAGACCCACATGGAAATCAAGACCGACTAATTTGTTCCATTGCAGCAGCAGGCATTCAATTAGAGAAGATCATATTGTACAATGATTCTGGTTTGAGCTTACATGGACTCTCTACTTTCTTTTGCGCATGCCCATCTTTGACACACTTGATGCTTTGTTCCATAGATATCCTCACCGACAATTCCACGAGGGATTTATGTCGATATCTTCCTAATCTTGTGTCCATAAAGTTTGACCAGTGTTCAAACTTAACCACTGCAATCTTCTTCATCCTTGCAAAAGAATGTCCTGTGCTTTCAGAGATTGAAATGCCACATATAAATCTACAAGTTGAAGATAATTTTGATATGGATTTGGAGAGGAATTATCAAATTAGATCCTTGGATTTGAGTTGTGCTCGTGTGAATAATGAATTCCTGAAAAAAATAGGGGTTGTTTGCCCCAACTTACAGACTCTCAATGTTACAGGACTTTACACATTGACAGAAGGCATTGAGGAAATTTTGAAGTGCTGCTCGCAGATTAAGCATTTGACAGTGGACAGAACTAGAGAAATAGTCATCTTATTGGAACAGTTCAAAACTCGCAGCATTAAAATTGAACATCTTTTGGAACTAGAGGAGGTCAATGACTGATATGAGTGATCTCTGGCACTTGCATTCTGTATGTAAAGAGAGAGAGATAGTTCTAGGGCTGATCGGACTTGTGAATTGAGGAAGAAGAATTGTCAGGGCTATTTGTTAGAAAAAATGCCATATTCCCTCTGCATATTTCTCTGATTTTTTTCAGGCTGAATTTGAAAGGAAGGCTTGTATTTTGAACTCTTAAAAGTTTTTGTATTTATTTTTTGGCACAAGATAGCTGTTAGTATGTTACTTAGATTACAATGCAGGCCAACTTTTCTCCATTGACTTGAACTTTGAAATCTTACTCACCTTGGCACATAAGCAAGGTTGTTAAAATCGGGATCCTAGGTTGGATCGTTGGAGGTGTTTATAGGATCGGATTGTAGAATCGGATCGAGGATCGTAAGATCCTATCGAAAAAGACAAATTACATAATAATTTAATTTAAATAAATATTTCTTATAAAGTATACACAAAATGAACCTATATTTTATTAAAAAGAAGTGAAGATATTGTGAAAAATATAATACTCCATGTAGAATGTACATATAATATTATGCAATAGAAAACTCGATGGTAAAAGTTCTGTATTTTATCAAAAAAGAAGGTGAAGAAGAAGAAGAATTCTATAACAAAATACTTTACAATGTACAATAATGCATAAAAAGTGAAGAAAAAATATTTAACAAAATTGGATATGAAAATAGATTAAGAACTCAAAAGAGCAGCTTAGTCGAATGATAAGGTTTGTCGTTAGTATCCCTGGTGGAGCGAATTCGAGTCACAAAAATAATTTCTGCAGAAATTAGGATAAAGTAACAATCATCTTACCCTTCTTAGACTCTGTTAAAGCTAAGTTTGTTTTTCCGACTATTTAATTTTCTTAAATTACCGCAATATTTGAATGTTTGTTTCCTAGTTTGTTTTTCTTAGTCTATTTGATTCAATACTACTTAATTTTTATTATTTATTTTGACAACATAAATTGATATTTAGACAATAAATATAAAATTAACAACAAAATATGTCATACAATGCAAAACAAGACTTGTAAATTGGATCGGATAGGATCGGATTCGGATCGGGATTCCACGATCCTATAAGATCCCAGTACCAGGATCGAAAGAGCCTACCTATAAGGAGTTTTTTACACGATCCGGATCAATTGCACTTAACTGGATCGTAAGATCGTAGGATCGTAAGATCCGGGTCGAGATTCTGATAACCATGCACATAAGTGCCCTTCCCATGACCACTTGTTTCTGAGGTGATTTTATTGGAAAGCATTTGGCCTCATAACTTGCATTTGAATCATTACTCATTGATGATGCATGATCTACTAGTCTCAAATCCTATTTACTTGTACAACTTCTTTTTGAGTTTTGCTTGCCTAAAGTGATATGGAATATGATGTTTAAACAAGGGTCCAACTGAAAAATTGGGATGGAAACGTAAGAGCTGCTGGTCATTGTGAAATGAAATTACAGATGATGCCTTTTTGGGCTGACATCTCAATGATAATGCAAACCAAAATTTTAGAAATTGGAACATTTTCTTTTAGCTATAGAAGTGAACTATAAGGTTTGACAAATTGGAATGAAAACATTATCTTTGATTCTTTCAGAATCAGAAGAGTGAAGTACCATGGTGTTACCTCCACTCCCATTCATGTTCTTACCACGGGTGAAATGATTAGCTTAGCCTGGTTGTACAGTACAATCCAAATATAGGCTGCTGAGGAGGATAAAATTGGTGTTTCTATAGAAATGGTTGGACTTCTTACTCCCAAGGAAACTACTTCCAGGACTAGTGTTTTTGGATTGCCATGTGTTCAAGAACAACTCACAGTATGTGGACCAAGAAAAAACAGTTACTTGTTCCCTTGCTTGCTCTTCCTCCTCTTCTTTGTCTAAACCCCTGCAAAGTGTTTCCTAAAGCATTGTATTTAATATCCTTAATTCCTCCTCTTCTTTGTCTAAGCCCCTGCAAAGTGTTTCCTAAA